TCTCCCATGGGCTGTTGTCGATCATCCGACACCGAGTGCACAGTCAGGACGGTGGGGCGCGAGGTTGGTGACTCCTTCACCGTTGATCCACTGGGCACCAGCGGAAACACTTCATGTTGTGGCTGCAAACTGAAATCACTGGGAACTGGTTGCATGTCTGACACCTGATCAATCGGAATGACATAGTGACCTCCTGCCGATTGACTTAGTCCAAACCTTTTGATGCCATACTTCTTAGATGTCACTGCATGCGCTGACGTGTCAACCATGAGACCCAAGGTTGTGCACACAGGCTTTGACAACAATGGTGGACAATTCCCCGCAACGACAGAAATCCTCAAAAGACATGGGATGCCGGCTAAATTCACATGGATGATCACTGCAAACTTGCTTTGGTTGATGTGTCCATCCCCAAAACGAAACGATTCCTTCTCAGGGACAACCTTGCAGTACCACCCATTTCTCTTCCATTTCAAAACCAGGGGGTTGACCCATGTCGTCCCTGCCACCGTCTTCATACACCCCAAATCCAAAATCATCTTGTCCCCCAACTCCGTCAATGACCAATAAACCTCATTAGTGGTAATGGATGTAGAAGACGAAGTAGTCATAAAGGTGTTTCGAGGCCTCCCCCCCCTCTGTGGTGCACTCTTGTACATCGACTCGGACTGGGCGCACTGTCGGAGGAAATCCCAGTCGGCATCAGCTTGTCTGTTGCCCGTGGGAAATGTGACATTGGTCGCATGCACTGGTGCCTTGTTTCTATACGGGCACTCCTGCGACCAATGTCCCAACTGCCTACCCCAGTGGATCGAATGTTGCACCTATATGATGACATTTGTGGTAAACAGCGTTTTTTAGGTCCCGACCCTATATAATAGGTCCCGGCCCTGAAATTTAGGTCCATTTGCGGGAGCCCTATTTCCGTTAAAAAATAGCGGAAACACTGGTCACCAAAAACTGTTCAGATCCTGGTTGTGATTGCGCCCATTATGGACCAAAAAATTTCGGATTTAACACCAAAGAGCCTTTAGAAGCACCATCTTGGAATCACCAATGGATTCCCCCATGATATTTTCAGAAATATGAGGTAGGGTTGAACTAAACCATAACATATCCATGGAAACCTGGCCCAATCCCTACAAAATCAGCGCCTTAGTGTCTGGTGTGATGGGGAAACAATTCAAAATGAATATGTGTTGGTGGATGAACTCTTGATTACGAGTTTGATGGGGAGCAATCCTAACCAGACCATGCCCCAAACATTCCCAAACAAATATTTGTGGGTGAGCACTCCGAAGAACAATTGTTCGGGGGACAACACTATCGAATATCAAGGGCCATGTGCCAAAAACAAATCTCAATAAACCATAATAAACCTCCATCCATGCCCCTTCACAGTCCGTCCCGCTCCGTCACGCTGTGTCACGCTACATCACGCTCCGTCACGCGGTTCCGACAAATGACCCAATTTTTAAAGGTAAAAAGTAGACTATGTTTGAAAAATCACGAAAAATCACGGTGAATCACGCTGCGTCACGCTACGTCACGCTACGTCATGTTTTCGACATGGTCCATCACGGGTCCTCATGGCATGCCAACACCCCAGACGCTATTATATTACCACCGTATTACCACCGTTTGTGAGCTGGGAATTTGATGAAAGCCAGCATGGATGAGTGTCACATAACAGGAAGGAACAGAATAGCAACCATTATGTATAAGACAATTGCACATGTCATGTTTGTTTGATATTACTTCATACCACTAAAGAACATAAGTCAACATAAGTATAAGACACTTAAGGTGGACACCCCGGGATGATCCATTAATTATAAGGTAGTCAGACGTAGTCAGTATATCTATTCCATGCACCCGAAATTGTAACCCTGTTGATGAAATAGAGTAATGATGAAGTACTGGTCCGGTTTGGTACGGCGATGTCTGAAAAGACAACTAAAACATGTTTGTCAGAGCAGAAATGGCATTGATATTACCAGATCAGACCCTCAAACCCCACAAATCCGACAAATTCCGAAAAAAACCGACAAATGACCTTGAATCTGGGCTTTTACGGAGATGACCCTGTATTTTAGGTACATTGCTGTTTTTTACTTATTTGTGGTCACAGAGCCTCAGGGTACAAATGAAGCAGGGTTCCGTCTTCTGCTGCTGCTTCACCCATCGCTTCACTTGTTCTCGATCTTTGTCGCCTTGTGGCCCTCCTGGTGCATGTCCTTCCTTCTGGAAGTACTGTCTCATCTTCTTGATCTCACGCACGCGATTCCTGGCTTTGTACTCCTGTGCGAAAATCTCTGCCAGAAATGCGTCTGATGTCGAAGCCGTAGAAGAGGTAGTAGACGACATAGTTCCAGCCGACGAAGCTTCCATCACAGAGGTTGCCTGCGTTGACGACCCACCGAACGAAGTCATATCGTCCTCCTCCTCATAAACTGATTCGTCGCCAATGCCATCTGGCATAACTGTCTCGTCGTCCAATCCATCCTCATCAGCTCCGTCCTCATCTTCCAGGATTGCCATCAGCGCATCCCGAAAACGTCGTCTCCCGAAGAACTTCCTTCGGTTCTTCCTCACTCCAGGTGTCGCCGTAGAGCTCTGCAATGGTGATGTCATACTGGAAGATGTAGTCGCCTTCTGCACCAGGTACTTGTCCTCCTGGTCCAAGGTCGGTTCGCCACGGCCAATTGGACATCCTGGTTGTCCCTCCAACTGCTCTGCCAAGTCCATCAGCGAGGTGGTCACAAAGGTCCTCATCCTCCAGAGTACCTTGACTTGCAGCCTTCACCAGGGCCAAGTCCCTCTTGGTCAAGCGGGCTGCATCCAAAAGATGTCCAATGTAAAACTTCGATCCCACCTGATAGGCGGGTGAAGACTGGTTCTCACGCTGGTAAATTTCAGCGCGATTCAAAAAACTTTCAATTGATTTTCCATGCAAGCGGGTGGGTTTCATGAACTTCTGTCTCCTTTGGTCTACCTTCTTCTGGTCCAGAAGTTTGATGATGGGGCTTCTCTCCATTTCCTGCTTAATCCTCTGAATTCTATCGGCTCCGGAAACTTCCTCCACCGTTAAGTGCTGCACGATCTTCCCTGCTCTCTCACGCAACTGCTGCATGAGTCGGGGTCCTTGCATCTCCTGGGGCAAGGACTTACCTTCTGAGGCCACCCAAAAGGTGACGCTCCTCCAGTATTGCTCCCAGCTCTCTCCCGGTCTCATATAGAAGATCGGAGGGTACGATGAGCTCAACTTCCCCGTCGTACCCGTTGCCTGTTGACTCTGGTTTCCGGCCACCGAAGGAACACCACTAGGTACGTCTCCCATGGGCTTGTTCTCCGGATCCTTCGCCCTAGTTGCCTGTGGTGACACCGGTGACAGGGCTCCATCATTCCCGCCAAAAAGTCTATAATTGTCTCGTCGAAGTTCTCCACAATGTCGATTTTGTCCATGCTCATCTCGGGATAGCGCTCGTCCATCAGATAGTATCGACTAATTCTCGTCACCTGCAGTGTCGCTTTCATGCTTCCAATTCCAGTCAGATCGCCAACCTGGATCTGACCATCCGTCTCCACGCTCTGATGACGTAATATCTTAATTTTGTCATCGATCCTAAGTTCGACTGCTCCACTGAGACGATCGCCAACTCCATTGCGACCCATGATCTGAGCTTCGAGAGGATTGCCATTCTCCTGAAGTTGCGTTCACCTGCCAATTCTTATTCCTCCAAGGGTCATTGGTCAGCCATGGGTCGTCCATTGGGCTCTTACTTTCACTTCCTCCGGGAACTGCATTACGATGCCCTTCTCCAGCACGTTCGCCATGTTCACCACGTAGAACCTGCTGCATAGGACTGCCAGGCACCAGTTCCGAACTCGAAGAAGCTAGAACCCCACTAAGAAATTTATCTCCCATCGCAGATTCATCAGAGTCATTGAACCTCAAAATTCTGGTTCTTCGTACTCTTCTTCGCCTGGCCTCCTCAAACTCAGGCATCGGCATCTCTTCCACGGCAACCTCAGGCTGTTGCCGTTGTTCAGCTTCCGGTCGGGTGTCCGGGGTCTATGGTTCGCTCCCGTCCAAAGAGCCTTGCGAACGAATCGGCGCCGAGGCGAGGACCGCCATGGTTTAGGCACAAGCCAAGGGTAAGATACCCTGAAAACTAAGGCCACGGACGTGGCTCCGCGGCTTCCAATCGCTCACAACTTACAATAATTTAAAAAAAATAAATTTAATTAATATATTTATTTTGGAATTATGGTATTGAATTTATTATTATTTTTTTAAATAAATTCTATTTTCTATAAAATTTATTAAATGTATTATTAAATTTATATTATTTATTGCTTATTTGCTAGGTAAGGGTTATTAGATTTTAATAATTTTTTTTTTTTTTTTTTCCTCTTTTTCCTCCGCCTCCGTATCTACTTCCTCTACTTCCTTCGCCTCCTCTTCCTCGTAGTATAGATTTTAATGGGTATAGCCGGACTTCTACCGCGAACTTTAAATCCTATTGGGCACTGCCGGACTTTGACCACGAATTATAAATTATAATAGAGATTGTCGGACTTTAACCGCGACTTCCAGATCGCAGTGGGCACTGCCGGACCTTAATCGCAACTTTTAGATCGCAATGGGCACTCCCGGACCTCAACCGCAACTTCCAGATCGTAGTGGGCACTGCCGGACCTTAACGGGAAGAATATTAGAAAAGATGTTAGATAGAATATTAGAAAATATGCTAGAAAAAATATGAGAAAAAATGTTAGAAAATATACTAGATAAGATATTAGAAGATATGCCAAAAAAATATTATAAGATATGTCAGATAAAATTTTAGAAAATATATTAAATAAAATTCCAAAATAATTACTAGATAGGATACTAGAAGATTTGTCAGATAATATACCAAATAATATGTTAGAAAATATACCAGATAAAATATTAGAAAATATATTAGAAGATATGCCAAGTGGAATACTAAAAGATATGCTAGATAAAATATTAAAAAATATGTCAGATAAAATACCAGAAGATATCCCAAATAGAATGTTAGACAAATTACTTTATTTCGTGTGATCCCCACCGTGACATTTTCACATTTTCTTACTGGCAAATCTTCTGGCATTCTATCTGACATATCTT